TTTTAACCCTTTTTCTAAATCTGAAGAGTTATTTTTATGTATTTGCTTTCTAGCATTAAATTTTTGTGAAAATTCTCTTCATTTAATTTTCATCATATCCAATTTCAGACCAAAATGTTTGTCTTCATCGTTTACACAATTTTTAATTAAAATTCTTAATGCTATCTTGGAATGATTCATCCCCTAAAAAGAAACTTTTAGTTAATAACCAGTAACCAGGACCTTTTACACCTTTCCCCATGCTTAATTTCAGCGAAATAACATTGTGGTCGCTTCTTCATATTGGACTCACTACACTGTAAAAAATGAATTTGTTCATTGGTATTTTTTACGTATTTTTTCTATGTAGAATTTACTTGAAAACATTAGTTTTGCCACTTACGCACTAAATTTAAGTCTTGCTAACTCAAACTTTCAACTTAGTAGAACATACGTGATATATTTAAGTAAAATCAAATACATAAGAACTTTATTTTCAGCTTGTATTAATTTAGTAATTTTAACTCAAAATCAGAAATTATACGTATTACTCAAACAATTTATGTTGATTATTCTTATCTTTTTAAAGTAAGGACCGATGCAGTGCGTAATAGAAATATTTACATAATTTATGAATATTCATTAAGACCAAATTAAACTCTTTTTTAAATAAAACAATTCTTTTTTGTGGTTGAATGAAAATTTAAGGACTTTAAAACATTTACTAATTCATTTAACATGGCTAAGCAAAGACAAGACAATTTTTAATTGTTACCCAGTTCAAAACAAATCAAAACTTGATATTTCAGGAAATTGTCAACCAATTTTCCTTTTAAGATGCTACGATCAAGTATATATAAAATTTGGAGCGAATTGAATGTGTGTCGAATTGAATGTGTGCGAATTGAATATGTGTCGAATTGAAGCGTATGTAATAGCTTGTGATGGTGGTAGATATATATATATATATATATATATATATATATATATGGTTAAATCTTAAATAGAAGTAGTGTTAGTGATTAGTGATTAATATTAAATAGAAGTAGTGAATGATTAGTGGATGTTACTTATTAAATTAGATGGGTACCAAATCGTGCAATACGTAATCCTTTCATAGCTTTTTTTTAATTATCTAAAATGATTACAATACTTAAATTATTTACGTTAATGTAACTCGATTTAACTGAGTAAAAATTTATTCAGCAAAATAAGTAAATTCTACTTAAGATGCCGTAGGTAATATTTACTTAATAAAAATAAGGCAATTCTTTTCCTCAATTTTATTGAGTTATTTCGACTATTATTTTTTACAGTGTATGTTAGAAGGCACCACCAGTGGTAAAGATTCATTTCTGATAAACCAATAATTTAATCTTAAAGCTATTTTTAAAGCAATGTTCCTCCAAGTAAATTGCTGTTAATCGTTGAGATGTTTCCCCCACACATCTCCTTACTTCAGATTTCCGATTAAATTCTTTAAAAAAGGATGGTTTCTTGTAATGTCCTTTGTCGGATTCATTACACAATTCATAATCTTCTCATATTTTTAAGCGACTTTCACTCTCTTTCATTGCTTTTTCAATACAAGTGTGTAGTTTTTTTTTGGAAGGAATGTTTGCGCCTTCTCTTTAGTTGGTGCATATATACTTAAAAAACAAAATTAAAAGTCCTGTGTTTCCCTTTAATAAACAATATTCCACCATCAGCATCGGTGACGGTGTCTTCTATATTTGCTTCAATGTTTTCTTTAAACAAAGTTGCAGCTCTTTTTGCACTTTTGTACCGTGCAACAACAAAAAACACTTTACCTCTCAATTCACTTTAAATTACATGTTCAAGGTCTTTAGACCAATGCGTTTCTTAGATAAAAAGAACATCACCTTTTTCGTGTTTAAACCTCCAAAAAGTTTGGCGTTTGTCTTTGTTGTGCAGACCTTTAGAGACGATTCTCAGGAAATGACATGTTTTAGACATATCATTCAATAATATTTGAAAGAAAAAAATAATACTCCCTAAAAAAAAAACTTTCCCATCACATTTATTGTCAAAATCATTTCTTTTTTGGTATTTTCGATGGATATACATTATCATGAGCATAGTCATAATCAGAATAAAAGACTTACCATCACTGCTCTTTCGCCAGTCGCCATCCTGTTAGTAATGCTACCCAAATCATCCAACGATTGCCTAGCTCAGTGTTCCGGTGGAGAAGAACCGTCAAGGCTTAGTGAAGCTTCTAATTCGCAACGTTCATTAACTAATCTAAGTTTATTATGTCTCCCGTCATATATTATGTGGCGGGAGATAGAAAGAGAGGGAGAGAAGAGGATGAGAATATGAGAGTGGGTGAGAAAGGGAGGAAGAGAGAGAGAGAAAGACAGAGAAGTGAGCTGAATCTATTCATGCGCTGTAGCCTCGGTTTCCTCAGAGCCATCTATACACAGAGTTTGGCCAACTTGGTTTCACCATAGACGTAATGTTTCACTGGGTCACAACATGGCGTATATTCTTTTGTTTTGTGCTTGTCCAACAAAGCACGTATTGTGTTCAACTAGCACTGGGTTGACCAAACTCTGTGTATGGATGGCTCTGGGTTTCCTTTGTAAAGCAACCCCAGCATACCAACGTATACACTTTTCTTTCAAGGGTAAGTCTACCGTAACATTAATTTTTTTTAAACTAAAGCAGACAAAATAAAGAAACGCATCAGTGATATAAATCATCTGATTATTGTCTGGCTCTTCTGGTGGGTACCCAACCGTCAAGGCTTAGTGGGGTTTTTAATTTTGTTTATTAATTAGTCTATTATGTTTCCCGTCAAATATATTATGTGATGGGAGGTGGTACGGGAGGGAGAGAAGAGAATGAGAATATGTTACTTGATATTAAGAAATGATTTCTTGATATCAATTTATAATAAAACGGCTTGCCATAAGATCGCGCCAGCTCGCCACAACTCGAGCTTCTAAGTCGGCTAAGTGGGAGCCCTGCTTTAGTCTAGCAAGACATCAAAGTTGTTTGTAATAAAAGCAGAAAAAAATAAGAAACGCATCAGTGAAAGTAGCGGTATTGTATCAAACAAAAGGTGACAACACTGTGACGTTTCTTGCAAGGCCTTATCCAAAAGCTCTGTATAGAGAATTTAATGAATTTCCATTTCGGTGTTGATGAAGGATTTATTGCGCAATAATTATCTTGGGCCTCTAGATAATTGAGTTTATATTCAAAGGAAACATGTTGTAACAATAATGAATTAATTCTTTTTTTAGTACAAAGCAAATAGGAGAGGACTGGTGTTCGTAAAAGTAAATCAAAGACTTGCCAATTTGTGTTTAATCTTTCGCAACTTCCATATATAAGGGAGTTTACGGATACAATCTGTGCATGGGCAGATAAAGGTCATTTGTACCAAAAAGGTAAAACCCACAGAGATGAATACAGAGGCGGCCGAGCGACTTCCAAAGTAGGGGGGGGGGCACCAAGAAAAAAGGGCACTTTCTGGAAAAAAAAGGGCACCTACAAAGGGAAATCGGGACATTGGTATATACCCCTACATTGTAATCACAAATATAGGGGATGATTTCAATATTTGCTTCACTTTGCTTCACATGTGCACCATAAAAATATTGCTTAAGCATCAAAATATGTGCAGTTGGGTTTGATTGTCTAAAGAATTGTTTGCGAGAGAGCGAAGCGAGCGAGGAAAAATTTTAAGATGTGTGAGGTCGCAGTGGAAAGCATTGGAAAGCTTGAGTAGTGATATTTTTCACAAAGAAATATTGTTCACTTTTTATTTGAACTAACGAGCGAAAAAGTGAACAGATGATAAAATTTGAATACAAAAGCATTATTGTGTCAACAAATTTGCTTATATTTGATTTGTGAAAAATAGCAAAATTTTACAATCCTAAAACCTGCAATTTGACAATTTTCCGATTACTTCCGGCTCACGAAAATAAAACGTGAATTCGTTCAAATACAGTTCTTTATGTTATATGTCAGATTAGTGCCCACACATGCCCAGTCGAGTAATTTTGATTAATATTTTAGGAAATTGTGCTCCATATCCTTTCGCTTGCCTCCTAAGGTAATAGTATAAACAGTGGCGGATCCAGGGGGGGGGGGGGGCCCGGCCCCCCCCCCTTGAGAAAAAAAATCATGTAAAATCACGTGATTTTTACCTTTTTCGGGGGTTGGGTCCCCTCCCCCTGGCGCTCAAGGGGGGGGGGGGGGGTGCAAGTCGAAATTTTTTTGAGGATCAAAAAAAAAAAATGTGCTCACTACCCCCCCCCCCCCCCCCCCCCCCCCCCACTGAACGAATTTTTGGCCGGCGCGTTTTTCAAATTTTCGGGAGCAAAAAAAAAAAAAGTTGGGCCCCCTCCCCTAAGAAATCCTGGATCCGCGCCTGAGTATAAACCAAAGGTTTTGCTTTACTTTGCTTTGTAATTCTGTTCTGGTTGTTCCAATTTTTTTGGTCCACTTTGCCCCGGGTTCCCCTACTGCTCGTAATTTAAGACGAATGGAAGCGAACGGTAATTAGGCTATCATCACAAAAGCATATTTCCCTTTGTAAGTGACCCGTTACTTTGCAGCTAGGCAGAAATCTATTGTCTACGTATCTGCATTAAGATTCAGTTAAGCACATGCCCGACATATTTTCTCTTGGCGGCATCATTCGGAAGATGGTACAAAGGGAATGAGCTAGATATGACTTCATCTCTTGAAACCTCTTTGATCTTATTCTAATGGGCCCCTCCAAGCGTAAAAATTCAAAACCTGATCTGAGTTGTTGTTGGTATGGTATTAATATTTTTTATTTGATATATATAGGCCTATATATATATTTCATTATATTTTATTGACGGCTTTTGCACGAATAAGAAATCCTAATCCTGTAAATCCTAATACCAATCCCTAAATTAAGAGTCGATTTCCATTCCTATTTCCGAGACTAACTGTGCGGATCGAGGAATTTTACTCTCAAATCATACCTCTAACCTATATATTTGAACTTTGATACAACACGTACACACACACACTCATCAGCTCATGGATATATAGATACTCAGATATAGCCAAGTCATCGTCTCGATAATTTTGAACTATGGCCTGGAAATCTTGCTACTAATTTAGGCACGTTAATGACAGAGACATAAAGGCAAACACATTAACCCTAGCTACAGTTAACGCGGATGAATTACACCGGTACGATTCAGGCATTCATGTGCTAAAGCCTGGTTGCTTTTCAACACGCGTAGGCCAAGTTCATATTACTAGTAGTACACGTTTGAACGGTAGAAAAAATGGCTGCTACAGCTGGGAAACGTTTTGTGCTTGCGGAAGCTTTTGATGGTGACGTCAAAGAGACAAATTTCCGTTTGGAAGCAACCTTGATTCCCGCTCCGAATGAAGGAGGTAGGCTTAATGTTTTTCATTTTAATTGTTATAAGTAAACATACCTATGTGCAATCTTATCATTAAAACTTTTATCAGTAATAAATGAATAATTATAAATTATGAAGTAATTATTAAGTATTCCCCCAATTATGATGAATTACACCTGCAAACGTAAACTTTAAAGACCGTCAACACTACTGGGCCAGAAGGAATTAGATCACACAGCGAGGTCACTGACAGGTGGCTATCTCATTAACTCAGCTCTCAACTAACATAAGAAAAAGAGGATCATGGGGGACCAACAGGCACCAATTGGGAAAGTTTTCTATACAGAGGGAGCAAGTAGTTACAAGTAGGAGAGTGGGGTTTTAAAGAAAGTCACATGGATGCCTGCATGGTAAAAAAATTATCCAAGGTATTTTAACCTGAAAATTTCCCTTGCAAATCCATGCAACTATTAAAAAACTTTTTATTTGTATGTTCATCTAGTGGCGTAAAAAAAACTAGTTCCAGAATCGAGACTATGTTCAAAATGCACAGGTATATATTATATGCATAACAAATGTGAAATGTGAATCACTCCATGAATTATCTACTTTTCTTTGCAGAGGTGTTGCTAGAAGCTCTGTATCTAACCGTCGACCCCTACATGAGGTGAAAAATGTTTCTAGTTTTTCTTCATAATAAGTTTGCGAAGTTATACAGCAAATGTAATTCAAAGCATATAAGTGTCGCCTAAAAGTGTTCTCTAATTTCATTTCGCATTGTATTAATTTCCAAGAGAGTTGCCAAATATATAGATACAAATGATAGTTTATGTATTGGTTTGTATGAGACTGCAATTGAGTCGAATGTCCAGTTTGTAATGTATTTTGGTCACTCATGAAACAATAAATCAAGATTGGCTTAAAGTTAAAAACCGGACTATCGACTAATAACTATAATGAACAATATTTTGAACAAGTTACTTCAAGACAGAATAAGTCCTATGTGCGAAATATTGTTTCATTTATTTGCATGTGCATGTCAACTGATTTTGTTTTTATTTTATTTTTAGTCTCTCTCTCTCCCTTTATATCTTTCTCTCTGTATATATTAGTTAAAATATATACACGCATATAAATGTATACATGTATTAAAACATCCATACCACCCGACCACGCACACCTACCCGCCCACCCGCAAATATAATCGTCCGATAATGAGTATTTGCCGTGCTGTGCGAATAATTAAATATATAATAAATACATTAATGACTTAAGTGCGAAGTTCAAGTGAGATCACACAGCTATAGTCATTCCTCCTAGCAAACAATAAGAATAGAAAATGCAATGTCACAGTGGTATGTTAATTAAATGAATAATGCTATCTTATTTACACTTTAAAGGAATACAACATAATACCCTTGAATGGTGTCCTTGGTAAAAAAAAAACTCCTCTATCAAATTACACGTACATGTCCTCACTTTGTATGTGATAAGTATATGCATGCAATGTCTATTTTTACAATCGGATCTCATATTCATTTTGTCATCTTTTCTCTTTATTTGTAGAGTATGGGGAGTTCAGGAAGGGGAACCGATGGTTGGAGAACAAGTGGCCAAGTAAGAATGCAGACAAAATTTTAAAGCGAAATTTGATTGATTTCTACACACATTTTTGAATAATTATTTCATATAATGTATTCAAGAGATTAAACCAAAACGCAGTTTTGAAGATTATGTATGTGTGATCTGTTGCAATTATTATTTCCAAGCTGAGAATATACATGTATACATGCAGGGGGTGTTTCACAAAGATCCTAAGTAGAACTTAACACTAAGTTGGACTTAAAAATTATGGACAGCCATTGGAGCCTTAAAATGAAATATATCCAAAAGCAGAAATTCAAGTATTTTAGACTTTTTATAAAATCCACAACAAGAACATGAAATCTCCTTGATGATAGAAAATATGAATGATTTGAATCAACATTTTATGACTTTCAAAATAACTTTTACAAAATATTTTCAAAGATGCTGATGGCTTTCCATAATTTTTAAGTCCTACTTAGAGATAAGTTCAACTTAGGATCTTTGTGAAATACCCCCCTGGACTCTTTAATATATTTATACCGCTTTTTGAACAACACGAGTGATGAAATAATTGTGAAATGTGACTGAACGCCAATAATATAATCAATAACAACAACACCAACAACTATAAAAAAAAAAAACATCAACGAATTGTCTCACGTGTATTCAGGGTGATAGCGAGCCGGGATAATAACATAGCCGTAGGTTCCTTGGTCCAAGCCCAGAGTGGATGGACAACACATTCTGTTGCCAAGGGCAGTGACGTCACGCCGGTACCGACATTCTCTTCACCTGATTGGCCAAAGTCTCTTGCACTCGGAGTGTTAGGCATGCCAGGGTAAGAAATAACTATATTCTCTCGCTCCGTATAATGCAAAAACGGTTTTGGGCATAACCTGGGTGCGATTACTAAAGACAAAATGAAACATGTTTATCTATACCCTCTGATATGTTAGTCACACCGCCAAACGGACTAAACACCAATTCCAAACCGACCGATATTGTCCGGGAAGTCCACCCTGGTATTAAGTGTTTTTGTTTTTTTTAGAACAAAAAAAAAAAAAACGAGAGGAACAAATCGGTGAAAGTTCGAGCAAATTCCCGATGAAAATAACAAAGTTATGAATTGTTGAAGTTCCGATCAATCAAACACAAATTGGCAACTGTGTGACGTATTTTACGAGGTCCCTTCCCGTTTGGTCTGTAGTAAAAATAAATCAGAAATTTTCTATCATGAATACACCCTAAATATGATAATTGCATATAATATGGAGAACAAAAATCTATTCCGTCATCATTATCGAAGAAAATGAAAGTTAAATGAAAGTGTCACTGTAAAGAGTAAAGTTGTAATCGGAAGTGGACCAGGCCACGCTAAGAAATCCTCCCATCCAGTTCATTTCTCACGATGCTAACATTAAAAAGCAAAAGCATTCAATTAACTCCTTCCTACCGGGCTTCTATTTTCTATTTTACTATTCACCTTACCTGGATGGACATCGAGTGGCAATTGTGTATACAGTTTTGTAGCAGGGATTTGAACCGCGTGCCTTGCGGTGCAAAGTCAGGGTATTGTCCACTAAACCAGACCACATCTCCGTATGTATTGTCTGCAGGATTATGTAGAGGATTTTATACTGTACTTGTTTTTTTGTTTTTTTTTGCGCAGGAAGACGGCTTACTTTGGCTTGTTAGATTCCTGTCGTCCTAAAGCAGGAGAGACAGTAGTCGTGAGTGGAGCTGCAGGTGCCGTAGGTGGCGTGGTTGGACAGATAGCCAAAATAAAGGTAAGACCTGACCAAGATCCCTTCTACTGACCAAGTGACATGCTTCATACCTTCACGCACCCCTTCTCTCTACAGAATAAGTGTGCTCGACTAATCTCTCAAAAACCGAAATGGCCCTATGTTGCCTCCTTGTTAAATGAACTGCAGTATAGCTTCCAGTAATACTGACATAATTCAATAATTTTGTTCAAACTTGTATACCTATGTCAACCCCTCTTCCCCAATAATCTCCTCACCCTTTCAGCAGCAGAGAACATCATATTCACTTCGATCTACATTCGGCTCCCTCCTCTCTCATTCCCCAATGGTAGTAGTGGTAGTAAAACTTTTGGTAGGCTTTTGGGATAACTTGTTTAGCATATAGCTAATCTGGCACCTGGAAAAGAGTGAAATATGGATGTTTTTGTTGTTGTTGTTGAAATATGGATGTTGATGTTAACCATAATTAGGCACTGAAGAGTAAAGAACCTCTAACTTTGCAAGCTTGCACTTGCAAAGATTGTGATTATCTACAGCCTTTATATGACACCATTTTTCTGTTTAAAGAATTCAAATGCGCAGGCTCCTCCATTGATATCAGTATTTTCACACTTGCCGAAGTATCAAGTATGACATCATGCAATAATAATTTGATTGTGTTAATTGCTTCCTAGGGATGTCGAGTTATTGGCTTCGCTGGGTCGGACAAGAAGGTTCAATACCTGAAGGATTTAGGCTATGATGTCGCCATTAATTACAAAACCATGGGCGACCTGGACATGACTCTCAAAAAAGCAGTTCCCGAGGGTATCGACTGCTACTATGACAACGTAAGTAAAATTCGGTTTGTTTGAAATGATCTCAGATATACCTTCTTCTTTTTCTTTGGTGCAGTTTGCTTCCTTCAATCTCGAAGATTCTTGCAGAACTTTGGTGTAGTTTGTGTCACAGGGATAACGTGCCATGTGCCAATAATTAACAAGGTGCAAGTAAAAGCAGCATTGGATCTAGCTGATGCAGCCTCTCGTCAATTAGAGACGAAAGGCTTCCACATGTGCGGCTGGCACGACATTAGCTGAGAGGTGTTCCATGTCCTCACAGTTCTTACCTTGTTCATTGTATGTGAGCGTCATGAACACGAAGCAGAAAGGGGATTTTGTAGATACACGAGAAGCCATCACTACCAACATGGTATTATTTCTGGAGGCGGATCCAGGATTTTGTACAAGAGGGGACACAATCTCTCTAAAATACTGAATGCTGACATCTGAGAAAGACACGGTCGCAAAGAGTCCGGGCAAAGAGGTTCTAAAAAAAAAATCAGCTTTAATACGGCTATTTTAATAGTCTTCTCGATTACTTATGAAATGTTAGAGGAGACATGGTGGCTCGGTGGTAAAGCAGTGCAGGTCTCGTAACCTGGAGGTCCCGGGTTCTGTTGACAAGTACGCTTAATGACTTAACATAAATTTTAGCTACCGTTGGACTCAGTATAATATTATTGCTATCGTCATTATTGTCCATCGCTTTCTTATTTCAACCGATTTCAAAATGTATATTACTTTAATTGTCCCTCATGCATTACATTATATAGGTTGGAGGTGAGTTTTCAAGCACCGTGCTGTACAATATGAACGTTCGAGGCCGTGTATGTGTGTGTGGATCTATCAGCGCATACAACGAAAAAGAACGTCCAAAAGGTTTGAAGAAATTTCAAATTCAATTCAGTTTAATTCAGATGATTATTTTGTTAATTAATCCACTCATTTATTCTGTAATTCACATTCTCTTCTCACACCACTATCTTTATCAAGTTGTTTTATTTTCTCTCCCTTTTGTCTTGTCTCGTCCTATCTCTCTCTCTCTTTCTCTATCCGTCTCTTTCTTTCTGTCCTTCATAGTATTGTATAAGTATGATATATGTGTAGATTTGTAAGATATCTTGGTTTTTGTTTCTACTTTTATTTGACCTTTTTTTATATAAACTCCATATCTGCGGAATAATGGGGGTTTGACATCATCGACTTGCTATAGATATAATTAGCATGCGATGTCATGGTTTTGTTAAATATTTCGAAACTTTAAAATTCCATAAATTTCTTATTGTTCGTCCAATTGTGATGAAACTTTTACCGTTTTATTTGTCTAATCATTTTCTATCTATTTAATTCAACATGAATCCAGTATCTTACCAAAATGCTTTGCATGTATATGTGCATATATGAATGTTTGCATTTTTGTTTAATAACTAAGGAATTAATAAAGACTGAACTAATTATATATTTCCATGCAGCAAGTATTGTACAACCAGCGATAAATCGGCAACGTTTGACCATGCAAGGGATGATGGTGTACGATTACACTGACCGATTCCCGGAAGCCTTGAAAGACATGATGCAGTGGATTCAAGAGGTATTTCTTAATACAAAAAAGAAAGAAAAGAGAAGATTGATTCTTTTTAAAGGCCCAGTGCACTACTTGTAGCTACTTGCGCCCTCTATATAACAAACAATGCCTAATCGGTGACCATTGGTCCCCCCATGATCCTCTTTTTCTTCTGTTAACTGAGAGCTGAGTTGATGAGATAACCACCTGTCCAGTGACCTTGCAGGGTAGTCTAATCCCTCCTGTAAACTACGGCAGATAAGCTTTAAAGGGCAATTCAACCTTTGCAATATATTCATTGAGTTGTGTATCAAAGCAGAACAATTAGAGAAAGGGAATTGCGAGAGTTCGAAATATAACTGAGCAATAATAAGATAGTTTTTAACAAGTTTGAAATATGAAATTGCTCGGCCTTTGTGTATCCCGGATTGGCAGTTCGGTCAGTGGATTATGACGTAGTCATTGGTAACCCTATCGTTTATCGTGTACTAAAGAATATCATTAGTTTATGTTTTTCTCCTGAGTGACCTCTCCCTTGGAGAACTTTTATGGATAACTTATTACAAATTGTAGGTTCCCTTTAAAGAAAAGACTCCCCGATTCATTATTTGAGAGAGCTGGAGGGTGTGAGGGAGTGAGCAAGCGAGGGTGCGAGTGAGTAGGAGAAAGAAAGAAAGAGAGAGAGAGAGAGAGAAAACTAGAGAGGGTGATACAGAGAGAGAGAGAGAGAGGCAGACAGAACAGAAAGAGATATAGACTCGGTGTTGAAAACAGATTTATCATCGTCATCTCTTTTCCAGCAGTCCTTTTCCAGGAATAATTTATCTACTTAGTAGTTCTACAAAACCTTTATCATTACTGACTTATTTTGTGTGTTTCTGTGATCTTTCTCTCGCGGAAATAATTTTGGATAACACACATATTTTGTCTGATTTCATTTTTTTTTCTCAGGGTAAACTGAAGTACCGTGAGCACGTTACCAATGGATTTGAGAACACTCCAAAGGCTTTCATGGAACTCTTCAGCGGCGACAACTTTGGCAAAGCCATCATCAAAATATAGTCACCTCTGTATAGTTAACCTTTCATTTGCTCGTAGTGCCGCCTGGCATAGCTGCTTGTTTGCCCCACGCGCCAATCGGCATAACTTATAAGGAATTATAAGATGACGAAGCGGATCTTAATCAATTAAAGGTAAAGACCAGTATTGGAAACGCCCCAATTTCAAAAAATGAAATGGAAGCTATATTAACAATCATGTGAAAGAATATGTTTTGACTAATACATGATGATACAAATTTTGCCGGGAAACCGCCTACTAATTGATATATTTGGTAAATTATTTTATCTACATGGTCTGTGAGAGATAAACGCACGTGTCGCGCACGTGTGCGTATAGTCCCATATACATCTTTCTGTGTACAGTGCTTGTAACTTTACGAAGACTGGGCCAAATTTCTTATCATTTTGATGATTCCAGAACCTTGCAGTACACACCAATACTTATATGCTAGATGATCAACCTTTTCTGATCGATTCCATAACGTTTCTTTCACAATGTAATCGCATGACCATAACTGGTCTTTACCTTTAATGATTGGTTGAGAGCGTATACGTGATCAGCCATTTATTTTGTCTAACACGTAATTTTACTAGTGACCAGTCATTAGTAAAATCGTGTAATAAAACATCATCTTATAAAACAAAATAATAATACACATCATTTTGTTCGGGCATTAGTAAAATTACCCACACTCGGTACCCTCGAAACAGTCCAAACACTCTCGGCTATCGCCTCGGGCCTTTGCTTTGTGAAAAGTATTACGTAATGCGAACATGATTTTTATTGGATGTACAAATTGAAATTGCCCTTGAGTTGATTTTTCGAAAGTAGTCGTGATCGTGTTATGGCAACCCTTATAGATTACTTAAGACATTGAAATACTCTCGAAGACCATTTGCTTGGCAAAAAAAGATTTTGAAATAAAGTTTGGCTCTGGTCACGTGGCTGTTTATAAGCAATTATAGGAGAGTTTTTTGAAATACTTAAGTATTGGTGTATACTGAGAGGTTTTGGAAGCACAAAAGTGATAAAAACTGACGCAGTCATACTAAAAATCACAGTCATGCTGAGCACTTATAAAAGTATACATGTATAGGCATATACTACCCAAACATGTGTAATGAATGTTTGATCCATTGTTTGTTATTTTTCTTCATCTTTCGTATATGAGAGCATTTGAAGAGTACCGTGTTGTAGAAGGTTCTGTATTTCCATAATATTGTTCCAAACTAGCATAAACAAAATTGGAAAAATCACAGTTTACTATCTTCTTTTAATACCAGAGCCCCATCTGATAAAGATTGATCCAAATCAATCTCAAGTCCGCCATTCAATTGCAAGTTGCAAGAGTGTCGACTATCTTATGTACATAATTGCAATTGAAATCAATCGCAAATAAGTAGCAATAAAACACAACTGGTTATAAGACGGGGCCCTGAACTCAACCTTCTCTTTAAGACGAATTTGAATATGTTTACGACGTGCTGTTTTAAATGTATAATTTCTCCCGATGTTGCGTAATTTTTCTTTCAGTTCTGTCTGTACCATAATTGTTGATACAAATATGATTCCATATGAAAATAAAGTCGTCATTGAATTAATTAAAATGTGATTAAATATGACCTAGCTACCACAAAATCAATCCAAGCAAGGCCATTTCAATATCCTTGCGCGTCACCTAGTTATTGCTTTTTTAAACGTATTTCGATGATATCTATATGGGAAATTCAATGGGGGAATTGAAATTGGCAAATTACCCTTGAGTTGATTTTGTTTCTCGAAAATAGTTGCGATCATCCAAAAGCAGAATCGGCCGCCCCCCCCTTTTTTGGCGGCCTTAAATGGGGGAGAGAGCAAAAGATGAAAAAAGAAAGAGAGCTACCTACCTTGAGTAACGGGTCGGCAACATGTTGGGTGGGATAGAACCCCTAAATCCACTCCACCGCAATTTATGCATAATTATTAATGTGTGCATAAAAGTATAAATCAGTGTTGGATCGGGGGGGGGGGGGGGGGATCTGCCGCGGCTTTCCGATTTGTTGTATTTGGCCTTTAAAAAAAAAGAAAGACCCAATATGTATATAAGTGGTTTCCGAGACGACCTTTTTAATGTAAAATTATCACTCACATACTCTTTCTCACTGACAATTTTGTATATACCAAAGGGTTTTCTTGGAAACCACTTTTGTATTGGGGTCAGGGGCAGGGCTTTAGGACATCGCGATTGCCTATAATTTAAAAACGAATAAGTTATAGTAATGTCTATATATAGCCTTTGAGTCACATGCACCTGAGTTCGAGGGGAGGGGTCGGAATTTATCTTCGGGGAGGGAGCAGAAGGGGGGGGGGGGTATATCTAATGGCAAAAGAAAGTTGTGTTATTTCTTTTAGCCGATCTTTGCCGCGTAGACAGGTAGGCCCTATATATGCGCCTATGTAGGCCTACCGGAAAGATGCCGGAAAGCGTCATTTTTTTCTGCGGCACAGATTGGGTCTTTTTTAGAAAGAGGTCTTGATTTAACCCTAACCCTAACCCTAACCCTAACCCTAACCCTAACCCTAAACTTTCCCGTAGGCTCAACACGCACTTAACCACAATCTGTGCCGCAGAAAAAAAAATAACGCTGACGGTAAAGATACACTAATGTCAATACGAGCAATAAGGGGGTACAAAATGTGCACCATCTGACCCACCCCCCCCCCCCCCCCCAGGCCCAGTGCAGCTAGGGCGGATCCACGATGTTCAAAAAGTTCCTTTACGCCGATGGGGCGGGAGTCGGGAAGATGCTCTAGGGTACATTCTGAGGCATTTCTGAATGCGTAAACTGAACATTTATGTGATTTTTTTTCTTTCTTGCGCCCCCACGCCCCTTGGATTCCCCTGCAATTGTCGCCGCCCATATCGTAGACAATTGCGTAGGCTACTGCATTCGACAAAAACATAGTACATAAAAACCTGATTAACATTTAATTTCAGCATGATTACACAAAATGTCGGTGATATGAGACGACTTTCCTTGCCATTTAGCCCCACCCCCACCTCCCCCTCACCCCCTCCCCCTCCCCCACCCCCCCCCCCCCCCCCAGTACGAGCCGCGGCGGCGCCGATCCTCGATTCATTCTCATTATAATCATCAGCCTATGCAAAATGGCAGCCAATTTCGAGAAAATTTCCGACGTTGTTTCCAACGGAATTGTGCCTGTCACAAAGTATAGATCGACTGAAACTGGTCTGACAGTATGTCTAGCCCAGGTAGAAGGTCCTCTTGTGAATGGCTACTTTGTTTTAGGTGAGTAAAGTGAAGTTATAGATTAAATTGTGATTGGAGATAATGAAGTCTCGAATGCACTGCACAGTAGTGTATGGGTAGTACACACACTATCTATACGCGATACACACGTGCAGTACAGTGGACGTTATACGAAGTCGATGGTTGTGTGCGAAGGGGTACGGCAGCGTCGCGGCGGGTAATTAGGTGTGTCGGTGGTGGATAGCGACCGGTGGTTATGGACGCTCCGTGTTGCTATGCAAGGCTGAATGGAATGATAATTATGATGAGGTTTGCATGTTGCTATGCAAGGATGGACGGATTAATAATTATGATGAGGTGATATTTATATGAATGCTGTGCTCATTGGGGTGATTGAATTAGCTTGCCACTGAATAGTGAATGTCTGTGTCAATGCTACCTGCTTGAACTTGAACTTAAGTTGTATAATAATAATAATAATAGTGGGTTCTTGTATAGCGCTCATGTCAGTCAGATTTGACCCTCCTGGCGCTCCCGATTATTACCCTGGCTTTAGCACGGCTGCCATACGGCGCTCTAGCATTTCAAGGAATAAATTCCTACCAGGTACCCATTTACTTCACCTGGGTGGAGTGTGGCAAATGTAGATCAATGTCTTGCCAAAGGACATTAGTGCGGCGGCGGGACTCGAACCGCGGACCTTGTGATCGACAGTCCGGCGACGTATCCACTCGACCACAACACCTCTACATTGTTGAAGTCGTGCTGGCATTTAACGGCTGATTTGGGAATGGGAGTCTCTATCCCGGGGGGATACTCAGATTTGGTTTAGACCAGCCTCGAAACCCTGACCCATTATTAGGGGTCATTTCGGGGGATTTTTCTCGAAAAAAACCAATACTCGGGTGGTTTTTGCAAATTTTTCAAATGGTATTTTTGTTGAAAATGGGACCCATGTTTAGGAGTGACCCATTAGAGCGGCACACCCCAGTATGTCCTAATATGTGAGTAGCCCCCCCCCCCCCCCCCCCCCCGGACTCTATCTTTTTTGAGAGTCAAATGTCTCCCATTTTGGAGACTAAGGTTTAGCTTACAAAGAAACACCATAGCCATTTTCCCAAGTCAAATTTTTCATCAGGAATCTATCTTTATCTGCTCATTTTAATGAGCTCCTCATGTTTTAAGTTTACTGATCCAGATTTCCATTCTGTTTATGCTTCAGTACACTCCTGACCTACATTCATTGTCTGATGTCTGTTAACACTATGAACATGACGGACAAAGAAAGCGGACAAAATATACAGTTCCTCAGGTAGATAAAGGAACATCCCTTCACTGCTATTATGTAAAAATGTGTAGAACAGGTGTCACATGCATATTCACTTTTTACAGTCATGTTGTTAGTGTAAGCTCTTGGCTTTTATTGTTCTGTCCCTATTCATTCATCCTCATTCAACATTTAATACCTGCCATAGCACCACACACACACACACACACTCTCCCTATATATTGGATTCAATCTAGCTAACTATATAGACACATGGCACTCTATCTTTCCTGAGGCTTTTTATTTATTGGTTAAATTATTCATGTACAATCTTGTGATTGGTTGTTATTGTAAATGGATTGCATGTCAGCCATCTTGGCAGCCATTTTGAAGATGTAGTGCAGTGCAACGCAGCTCAAGTCCAGAATCATGTCAGACTAGTTTTGTTCTTGTGTGAGTCTTACAATATTTCATTTTGAGCAGAGGTAATCCCTTTGCAGCAATTGTAAATGGAGGAAATGGGCCACCAAAAGTCTTCAAGAAAGTCTCTGAAAAATTAGAGACAATCTCCCAAATAGAAGATTTGTACTAGCCTAATTGGTTTCTTAATTAGATACTTAATCTTTTTTATGCATCATGGGTGAACTACTCTAATTCTGTGTATCATTTTTTGTTTTTTATTTTTTCCTCAGCCACTGAAGCTCATGATGATGATGGACTGCCCCATACCCTGGAACATCTCATCTTCCTCGGCAGTGAAGAGTACCCCTTTAAGGTGAGAGGTTGAAATGTTTGTACTATGCAAGTAATGGTGTTAATGATAAAAGAATAGAATACTGCTTACTGACAATACTACTGCTACTATTACTAGTACTACTTCTCCTAAGAAGAACACCAGCAAGAATAAGGTGGAAGAAGAAGAAAAAAGAAAGAAGAAGGAGAAGGAGGGGGAGAAATGATAATGACAATATCATATGGCTCCCATATATTTATGCAACTTGTGATTTCCAGTAAGTTTTTTTTAAATTTTTTATTTATGTCTGAATTACTGAACTGGTACATGATTATATAGAAAAAAGAGAAATTACAAAATTGAAAGGAAAAACAAAGGAAGGAAAAAAAAAAATTCAGAAAGTCAGAGAGAAGGAAAAAACAAAGAGAAAGTAAGATACAGGAGAAAAAAAAATTCTAAAGGAAATATGGCTCAAGAATGCAAGTGTCAATTTGAAGAAAAAAAAATCAAATCATTAAAATTTCTGTTGATGTTTTATTTCAGGGTGTGTTGGACATGCTAGCCAATCGTTGTTTGGCTCAGGGAACCAACGCATGGACCGATACTGACCATACTTGCTACACAGTGATGACCGCCGGTAGCCAAGGCTTCATCAATCTAATGCCTATCTACCTCGATCATGTTCTCTACCCGACACTCACGGTAAGCGCATCGTCTTTCTGCCAGGGGTATATTTCAATTTTTATGTGTATGTGATGACTGCTAGTACTAGTAGTAAGAGTTCCCGATAAGGACATTGTGTTTTCTGACGACATTCCATTTTGCCTCGTATGATATTCAGTTATCATTTACCTTTTTTCTTTCCCTTTTTCTTTCCAGTGGAGAGAAATGGCAGTAGAGGGTTTATCAATGTACGTGTACCACTTTATACTTGTACACACTATGAACATGACGGACAAAGAAAGAGGACAAAATAAACAGTTCCTCATTCTACCCTCAACAATTGCTGTGGTAGACAAAGGAATATCCCTTCACTGCTATTATGTAAAAATGTGAAGAACAGGTGTCACATGCATATTCACCTGTTCTACACATTTTTACATAATAGCAGTGAATGGATGTTCCTTTGTCTACCACATCAACTGTTGAGGGTAGAATGAGGAACTGTATTTCTTTGTCCGTCATATTCATAGTGACATTGCTGAATTGGTATTGTTTTTTTAATGTAGGATGCCAGAAACATGTACATTGCCTTCAATAGGTTGTGGTATTCTATTTTGTAAGAAAAAGTCTTCATATTTTCCTTTTTATTAGTGCAGGATGGTGGACACATGAATGTGTACATTGTATGCATGTGTAGTGGGTTGACCTATTAAAGAAGAACTTTAGGCCTTTTATTCAATTGTCACCCATTTCTTTAGTGACACCTGTAACATAATTAGAGTGCCACACATACTTTCTCTGGCAAGCACATTCTAAGCCTTATTGTATTGGGATGTGCAGTTATTCTTGCAAGCACATTCCACACCCTATGTGTTGGGATGTGCAGCCACCCAAGGTACTGGTATAGCATGCATATTACGCTTGCTTGCCACACCTATATTCATCACTTCTCCTGAGCTGTTCTTATAGAGCACACGTCTTCTAGAGAGAGTCTTGAGTCTACACCAAAGCTAATTCAGCTTCATCTCAATTCATGTCCTACTTCTTTGCTTGTTTCTCTACTCGGTTCCAAGGCCTTATTACTTTATTATGAGATTATGAGTTTCTCCTCACTTACTTCATCCGTAAAGAAGCGACATTACTTTGTATATAGTCTTACATATTCTTTCTACGGGTATTGTGCAATATTTGAACGACTACTATTATTCACATTGTGAGATAATTTGTCCCAAGTGTCGGTTTCAACAGGTGTTGCTACGAGACAAGGTAGGGAAGAAACCAATTTTATGCCGTAATGATACATGTAGCCCGAGGCATTATGTTTTTGGGTTGTCCGTCCGTCCATCCGTCCATCCGTACGTCTGTACAGGTGTACATCCCGTTCTCGTGATCTCTTTATCTCAAGAACCGATTGATTGATTCCTGCCAAACTTAGGTCATGTATGTTTCTTGCAGAGCTAATGAATTGATCAAATTTTGGGGTCACGAGGTCAAACGTCACAGGGCTCATTATGTATGCATAAATAGCTCGTGATCACATCATTAGAACCGATGGACAGATTACCATCAAACGCAGGACATGTATATACTTGCTATTAAAGCCAATGAACTGATTAGATTTTAGGGTCATGAGGTCAAAGATACACAAGGGTCATACATGTATATGAAAAATAGCTCGTAATCAAGATATTCTGGGAACCTGTTAATGGATTACAATTAAACTTGAATTTGAAAAATTGCCTCCGTTTTGGTTTGTGAAATCGCTCTATGGCGGGGGCATCATTTTTTACAGAGTGCAGTCGAAGTTCCATCTAGTTTTATTGAAGAGATGTAACATCTCTTCGTTCAAGCTTGTAGAAACATTATATCACAATTATACTGTTTCAAGGAGCCTTGTGTTACGACTATATTTGAGTTTTGAAAGAGTTTTCATGAGTGATTCTGTGACATGATGATTTGCCATGCTAATACTGAGAGTTCATTGCCCTTTCGAGGGCTCTGGGGCTTTGTGAGTTGAAAGCTGTTCATACAAGGAAGAAGACGTGTAGTCTCCGACCCTTTCTGATCACAAAAACACTTACCTATAAACTTGAGTGACTTAGTCATCAGAGTCATGAATGATAGTGAACTTGCTTTTTGTAGCTCTTATCAATGGTATAATGGCAATTCCACACCTTTTGTCCAGTACATTTTAATCCACATGATCTACAGTTTAGTATATGATTTGAGTTGAGAGCCCTTTTACAGCTTGGATTAGGCTAAATATCCGTTTTGGTTTGTGAAATCGCTGTATGGCGGAGGCATTATTTTCAACTGTGCGCAGTCGACGTTCCATCTAGTGTACAGTATTCTGTTATTTTAGGTGAACAATTCCCTAAAGTTCTCTTTTTTTCCCTGCAGGATGCTGGATACACCACTGAAGTGCATCACGTTAATGGAGAAGGAGAGGATGCGGGGGTCGTGTACTGTGAGATGCAAGGGAGGGAGAATGCAGGGGAGTCAAGATGTCACCTAGCCATGCTGAGAAAGATGTATCCAGGTCACTGCGGGTACAAGGTAAGTACCTTAAAGAGAAGGTTGAGATCTGGGAACAGGTGAAAAATAATTGGTGTTAATTTGAGCGTTATCATTGCAAGTGTGGATGAACATCAGATAAAACATGTTCCCTAAAAAGTATGGCCTTTCAAAGATAATATTCAAAATATGGCATGTAACATCATAAATATTGGGACAGATTTTTTCGCCACGTGTTCGTTTAGTCCCATATACATCTTTCTGTGTACAGTGCTTGTAACTCTACCAAGACTGGGCCAAATTTCTTAGCATTTTGATGATTCCAGAACTTTGCAATACACATTAATACTTATATGCTAGATGATCAATTTTTTCTGATCGATTTCACAACATTTCTTTCACAATTCAATCACTTGACCAGAACTCAACCTTCTCTTTAAAGGTACTATGTCCCATTTGCAGGCCAAAAAAATGAAAAAGTTAAATTCCAACTGAATTTGAAAGATAATACTAATTTAGAACTTCCATAAAAAAGGTGGGGCTTGAAAATGTCTTCAAGTGGGAAAATAACGACTATTGGTTGTCAAATCGACTTTAGGGCTATAGAGCCCAAAAGTAATAGTCTTGATTTTCAGACAATTGTACCGAATGGTCATACGTTTTATGCTGCACAAAGATTCAATCAGTTTAATCTTGGCCATCACAAGAAGTGGGTTATTGATGTAGACAACTGCTCATGTACCCTTTACAACTCTTTTCATTTATGTTATTACCAAAGAAGAAAAAAAGCCAGTCAGTCACTCAATAGTGTCTGACAGTGAAGTCTAGCAAGTAAACGGGTTTCCTTGCATAATTTGAATATGAGGACACTGCTAATGTTTCCATTTCACAGATAGGACATACATGACATATTCATAATTCCTGCAAAGTTCTACAGAATTTGAGGTTGGCTGCAAAAGGGACATAGTACCTTTAAGTGAATCTGCTAAGAGTCCAGATTCATAAAAGTTATAAATGCCTTGAAAGTGTTGGTTGTACGATGCATTGAATGCCAGTACAATCCTGTACAAGTAACTCGGCACGTACTATTCAGGAATGTTCCTGGTCTTTGTGTTTACAATTATAATATAAATTCGAGAATAGAGGCAATCTACTGGGGTAGATGAAACCATGTGACCGTGCATTATTTGTTTCAAGACCATGCAAAAAAATTCCAATGAAAAAGGGACTGAGCACTGCTAAAGAGATAATTCACTGCCAAGGTGAGCATATATATGTGTCTGATTTTCTCTGGAGCATTCAAAGTTTAGACCAGAATAACTGGAAATCTAATTTACCCTAAATAACATACTGCAAATGGATTGATCTTCTTGTAGATTTCTTGCACAATTTAATCACTTTTTGCCTAATTATTTAAATTTGTTTCCATCTTCGTAGTTATGCTTCTCAAAAGGCTGATATATTGTCATTTGACTGTTATCTTGTACTCACTGTCAATTTGTTAACAGTCGGAGACAGGAGGAATCATGTCCAATCTTCGAACCACAACTTCGAACGAGAAAGTTCGCAACTACCATCGCGATTTCTATCGTCCTGAAAACCTGTGTCTGATCATCACGGGAAAGGTTGCACCGGAGGAAGTCTTCAAGGCTTTAGAACCGTTTGAACAAAAGATCAAATCTAAGGTAATTCATGAGAGTCTTGAATGCTTAAAAACCGTTTGAACAGATGATCAAATCTAAGGTATTTCACAAGAAAGTCTTAAAGGCTTTAGAACCGTTTAAACAGAAGATCAAATCTAAGGAATTTCACGAGAACAACCAAATGTGTTACCCGTCATCTAAAATTTTTTTTTAGCCAATCGTTATATTTCACACGTACGCACTGTCTAGAATCCTTACGTTTCCTACCGTTTAGAAAGAGAGAAGTAATGAAGATTACATAATATATGTATGAAACATTTGGCGTAAAATTTGAATCTTCTACCTCCATTTGTTTAAAAGATAAATAGAAGAGAAATTATCCATTGATTCCGTTCATTTCCTGAGATTATTTATTTTTTTATCTGACCTAATGAATATATATTTTCTATGTATAGCAAGGAATTCGATTTGGGCAAAATACTCATTGTGTAGACCTTTAAAAAGAGGACAAATGAAAAGGACAACTGTTTCTATTTATTTTACTTTGTCTCTTAAAATTATATATTGTCAAACTGTTTTAGCAACCATTTGATAAGAAAGATGACCCATCTATAATGACCACTCGTTTTGTTTAAAGCTTATCTTTACTAGTTTATAGGAAGGGTTTAAACTACCCTGCAAGGTCACTGGACAGGTGGTTATCTCATCAACTCAGCTCTCCATTAACATAAGAAAAAAGAGGATCATGGGGGACCAATGGTCACCGATTAGGCATTGTTTCTATACAGAGGGAGCAAGTAGCTACAAGCAGGACAGTGTGGCTTTAAAGCAACCTGTCTATTCAGACCACCAGCATTTGAAGAACTGTTTTTTCTTGTCTCCCTGAGCAGAGTTGATATACATGTTTCACTGAATTTTATTTGTATTATTTTCATTGTATCACAGGGAGCCCTGCCCCCACATGTCCGCCCGTGGCAGTCTGCTGTACCACCCCTGCCTGAGAAAGTGGTAGAGACCGTTCTGTACCCATCTGATGATGAATCCAATGGAATGATCTACTTGGCTTGGAGGGGTCCACGTGCTCAGGTGGGTGATCAATGTTGATTAGCTTCTCTATGTTTATTCCTTGTAAACTCTACTCTCCCCCTATCTAAGAAAGTGGTAGAGTCTATGCCAAACATGGAATAGTCTACTTGGCCTGGAGGGGTCCATATGCTCAGGTGGGTGATCAATGTTGATAAATTCTTTGTTCATTCCTTGTTCCTCATATTCGTCAAAAGACCTTGATGAAAAGCTAAAGAATAAATTTTTGACAGAATTAGTGTATGACAAGATTATTTTTATTGTTTCAGGATATGTACAGGATGTCTGCAGTGATGATTCTTCTTGAGTACCTGACAGACACCTCGGTAGCTCCTCTGCAGAGAGACTTTGTAGAGCTGTCCGATGCCTACTGCAGCAAGGTGCGCTACTCTATCATAGAAGCCAAAGCCTCCTGCCTCTATCTCAAGTTTGAGAACGTTCCCAAAGCTAAACTGGGTGACATCAATGGAAGGTAAGGTTATCACTAATTTCAAGTTTTTCAAGTTCATTTTATTTCCACTTTATCAAAGATAACATAATTGAACATAATGAATATGGTAATAATTATAACTAAACACACAATATAGAAACGTAATTTACATGGTAATAGTCATAACAAAAGATACAATCATAATGAAAAAGGGTACATAAATTTGGGGATCTACTAAAATGCCAAGCTTGTATTATGATATCTTGCAAGACAGATCTAAACATTATAAAGAGTAGCGGGCCGGCGACAGAGCCTTGTGGGACTCCGCACCATAGATTGTGTTTTTCTGAGGTAACAGAATTGATGGAGACGGACTGAGAATGACCAATGAAGATATTGCTTTGGATCTGCTTTATCCTGTAGCTTATTCTTTCAATTGTATGGCCTAGTCAGATTAGGGATTGGATAGTAATGAGAAGTAAATTGAAAATTTTGGTCAACACCGACCCTTGTAGTCCATTCTCGTCTCTGGTGACGGCTGTCACTTCTACCGACACTCCCTTAATAACCTCTAATGTTGCACTTTTGCCCCAAAGTGTTACTCCTATTGTGTGTCTGTCATCTCCCAGCTGCCCTAACGTTATCATGTGACCTTTATATTCTGACGTTTGGACCAGTTGACCTACCCGCAAAACACCATGCATTCAATTCAAAATATACAAATTTGTTTAGAATAATGTATTACACTTCAAAAGCAAAATGAATAAATATACATTTCAATTATAATGAACTGCCAAGATTTGATTAAAAACACACATCATAAATAACAAAAAATACCAATATTGACGCTTTGAATTACAATGAATACTTTCTTCACAATACACTAAAATCTGAATATGATATAAAATGTTTATGAATAAATATCTTTTTCAATATTTCATGAAATCTTCATGATTTGAAAAAAACTTCTTTTACAATTCAACATCACTAATTTTTAAAGACCTCTTGTCACAATTTTCACCACGTCAGTTTACAACAGCAAAATACAAACCTTGATAACATCTCCTTCGACGGTCATTCGTCTCTTTCGGGCGCTCCCCCGAGCTTCAGAAACAGACACACTTTTAGGTCTTATAAAGTTGTCGACAGTCTCTTGGTTGACTTTGAAGTCAACAACTTCTGAAAAGACCTAAAAATACAATTTATAACTATTTAAAGATTTTGTGATACATATAGCCACCTCCCCTCAACAATACCAATAAAAACCATTAAAAAAAGACCCCACATATAAACAAATTATTCACCTAAATATAATTAACACACTTCATATGAAATTGCAAATTAATAAAGCCATATTTCCAAAACCTTCATTAAAAAAAATTAGTCTAACATAATTGTTTACAACTTGTTCTCAAGCCAATGAACATTAAAACACACGAATGGTTCAATATTACTACTCATGAAAAAGTTAAAAAAAAACCTACAAAATCACAAACAAAATTATAATAGTAAACAAAATAACCTATAGTAAAATACTATGACTCGGATTGACTCACCGATAACTGCACTGTAGTACTGCTCCGTAGTACGATGTAGTTCTCCTATGACTGACGTTAACTGCGATGCAGATGACTGTGTACTTGGTGTTCTCTGGTGGTGTACCTGGGTTCTAGCGAGGGCGGGTTTCAGCCTCTTTATATACCTGCACGCTTGTACGTACGTACGTGCAACCAGTAAGTAACCCGACGTACGCACATACCTGTTATTTCCCATATTCCTCCTGACCATAAAAACAAGCGAAAGATAAAAAAAAAAAAAAAAAGTCTTTAGCTTGTAAATAGACCTGGATAGTGGGATGGTATACGAAGGGTAACCTCCGGAATGAGTGGGCTCTCGAGAGCACCAAACTCTCCCATACCCCCCGGAGTGGGTGTGCACCACGCCCCCTCCCCCTACTCCCCTGAGTGGGAGTATGAGTACTCCGGGCTTAGGCAGGGGCAAGGGAGACTCCTCCAGCAGCTGAAGTCGGCTGGGGTGAATCCCTCGTCCCAGCTCGGAGCTTGCCTTTCAGCCGCCTCAATTTCCATAGAGGTGAGGTCGGCATCAGACCGGGGATTGGTATTGTCAATTGTCACCCCATTGACCTTAAAAGAGAAGGGGTCGTCCATGTGACTGTCACATGAGTGACTTTTTTTTATTTTTTATTACTGCTACGGACACACAGAATAAAGGGAAATAAAGCTTGTTAAAATAAAGTTAAATTGTAACGTTTAATTTCCAATCATTTTTCCTGTTTAACACACTTTGTTTTGGCTTAAGTAAAAATACAGTAGGTAATTAAACTTATCTTTAACAAAATAATTCTGGATGGGTAGTTTCCCGTCTGACATTGATGCCGGTCACAGCTCGTCTCGTCCACTTGGCCCTGGCCTCCGCAGATGGCGTCTTTGCTCCACTTGGCCCCGGTAGTCGTCCCGGATTCTAAATAAATATACATTTCAATTATAATGAAGTGCCAAGAGTCGATTAAAAACACATCGCAATTAACAAAAAACACCAATATTGGAACTTTGAATTACAATGAATACTTCACAATACACTAAAATCTTAAGATATAAAATGTTTATGAATAAATATCTTTTTCAATATTTCATGAAATCTTCACAATTTGAACAAAACTTCTTTTACAATTCAACATCACTGACTTTTAAAGACCTCTTGTCACAATTGTTACCACATCAGTTTACAACAGAAAAATACAACCCTTGATAACCTCTCCTTCGACGGTCATTCGTCTCTTTTGGGCGCTCCCCCAAGCTTCAGAAACAGACACACTTTTAGGCCTGATAAAGTTGTCAACAGTCTCTTGGTTGACTTTGAAATCAACGACTTCTGAAAAGACCCCAAAATACAATGTATATCAATAAAATACAATTAATAACTTTTTAAAGATTTTGTGATACATTTAACATAGCCACTTCCCCACAACAATACCAATATAAACCATTACAATAAAGGACTCCACATATAAAACAAATCATTCATCTCAATATAAATACCACCCTTCATATGGGATTGCAAATTAATAAAGCCATGTTTCCAAAAAATTCATTAAAAAAAAAAAACGAGTAAAATATTTAGGCTACGACTCTGGACTGTAAACTGTGAGGCTCTCTCAGAAAATGCCGAAGCACTAGCATCCTCCCCGACAACGAGCACCGCGCAACAATGATGGAGAATCCCTGACAGAGGCTGGGACACTAGGTCCGGCCTCAGCGGGAGAGGGAAAGGCGTCCCGTCCAGCAGTGACAGAAGGAGAGGAAACCATGACCTCCTTGGCCACGCCCAATCCTCCCTGACCTTCCTTAAGACCTGACGGATCAGGTGAAAGGGGGGAAAGGTTTAACCCCGAAACTGTCCCCAATGTAGGGAGAAGGCATCCAGAGACCAAGCCTCTGGATCCCGTACCCTCGAGCAGTACGTCTGGAGGCGGTGGTTGAAGGTGTTGGCGAACAAATCAATCTTGAGGCGGTTCCACGGCACCCTGAGATGGTCGAACACCTCGAGATTCAGCGACCACTCCGAGGGAAGACACTTGCCCCGAGAGAGAAAGTCCGCTATGAGGTTGTCCTGCCCGGGAATGTAGGAGGAGATTGGGAGAATGTCGTTGGCCCGACACCACCTCCACAGCCGGGCGGCGAGACCACTCTGCCACTTTCAGACAGTTACCTAGAGATGTTAAATTAATACTAGCTGTTATAGTTTTATCACTAAAATTAACAACCATTCCATACAGGAACCATCTAGTTCCAGTATCAATAAATAATAATAATAAAAACGTTGCTTATAAATCGCTTACCACCGAAGTCTCTAAGCGCTATAGCATCCAAAATACAATGATAAAACAATTACATATAAAACAAAACAAAAAATTACAAATAAACCTACATATTACATTACATATGAAATATACATTAATGTGAACAGAGTAAGTTAATAATCATCAAAAGCAATTTTGAATAAATGTGTCTTAAGACAAGTATAAGCCTTTGGCATGAGAGAATTCAAAGATATAGTGTTACAAACAAAGTATTTTCACACATAATTAACGCTGTTGATATTTTATGGGCTTGATTCTTCCTCTGTTATTCAATTCAATTCAATTTTTATTCAATTCCAATAAAATAAACAAAACAGAATACAATCATGACAGAATAACAGTATAAATCCATCAAGATTTCAAAATGAGGTAAAATGATAAAACAATAAAACAATACAACAGATAACAATACAAGATAGAGCATTATTGGAATTAGGTGGCCATATACAACTATGAGGATTCGTCGAGGCGACCACCTTTAATAAAGGTAAAATAAGTTGCATTGAACATTCAATATAATTTAGAAAATTAAAAAGATAATAGAGTACTATAAAGGAAGAAATAATTACAAATATATGAAATATTTTGTTTACAAAAATAGATGTTCCCTCACAAACCTACCACAGGACAATACAAGGCAGTCAAATTTACAATTCAAAATTTCAAACACTCGTGATCAAGTAGGATTTGAGTTTTCTTGAAAGGAATTTACATTTGTTTGGTATAGAAAGGTCGACTTCGTGCCAACACTGTCCGTTTGGACTGCTGTGATTATGAGCCTGAATTGATTAAACCTGTTACTCATTCAATTTCATTCAAAAATGGTTTTTATTATAGCACAAACATAGTTCATACAAATCCAATTTTACATGACAGACAGCCATGGCTGGAATATTCATGTTTACATGTTAGGTTGTTGTTGTTGTTGGGTTTATCGGCGCTATCCATCGATTCCGATGATTTCCGCCAGGCTGTGTGTGAGGGCGTCTTGCTCTCACTTCTGCCGCTCTACGTTTCTGTGATTCTGATACTTGCCCAGTGTGTGAGATAAAGATTTACCTTGACCTTTGTTATTGGCGAAGTGCAAGATTGAAGATTATGGTGGGGTTAATGTGCTCGTTACTCATTATTTGTTAGTCATTTGATGTTAGAACTGGTTGGAACTAATATCATGAAGTTAGGCACAATAGATAACACTTTTAAAGTTACCAGTATATATCTAAACAAAAACTAGCAATGTAATTTTTTTTTTGAGATAGGACGTTCACCCTTCTGGCTAAGCTATCGAACGGGACTGAAGAGATTGATATGGAGAGGATGAGCAGCGTGATCCATCGTAGAATCCTGGAAGCACTCAACCATATGGAAGATAGCCCACACGAGACCTTTGCCTTCATGTGTATTGGGGATTTTCTGTACGATGACACAGAAGTTGAGGTGAGTGATGGATCTTTTGTATCATTGTCTTTAAATGATTTTCTGTACAATGTTATAGAGGAATAGGTGAGTGATGCATCTTTTTAATCATTGTCTTTATATGCAGAAATGATTTTCTGTACAATGATATAGAGGAATAGATGAGTGATGCATCTTTTGAATCATTGTCTTTATATGCATGAGTGATTTTATGTATGATGAGACAGATGAACAGGGGAGTGATGCATCTCTAGTATCATGGTCTTCATATGAATTGGCAAAAGCTGTACAGTTATCCAGAAGATTGGATGAGCGATTCATCTTTAGTATCGTTGTCTTCATATGCATCTTAATTTTGGCTTCACAACAGACACATACAGCTAAGACAAAGCAAGCATTGGGTATGCACAAGGAAGAGGGGTGCACAGTGTAATTCTTATTTGTTCTCGTTTTACCAGGCTGTTATATTTCAAAATAGCTGAGTGTCACGTCACACCTTTTTTTAAGCCAATAGGATACATGAACTTGCTAACAAACCCAAATTTTATATTATAGTATTAATGACTGCTTTGAGAGAAATAGTTGTTTTTATACGCTCAAGGGAAGGTTAAAATTGTGCTATTGCCCCGAGGCGTGCTGATAGCCCAATTGTAACCTTCCCGAGAGCGTATAAAAACAACTATTTCTCGAATATTAAAGCAGTCATTAATACTTTTATATGCCGAAAACAAAAGAGTCAACTAATGACACCACCTTGGCCTTTCTCTAGTTTATCTGCACAGTTGTTTTTTATGAGTGTATCTTTGAGAGGAGACTAGATCTAGATTCTAGTCTAAGCAAGATATTTTTACAATTTTGGGGGTGGGCCGGCCCTGTGGGGAATAGAGAGAAGAACCTGCGCTTTCATATGACACCTCAACTTATTGAGTATCACCTTCAGGATCACAACAGATAAAGGTTTGAATTTCGAATTGAAAAAAAAAACTTGACTTTTTTTGCATGGTCGCGCAATGCACGTAGACTGCATAGAGACTGCATTGCGTGTAATCTCTATGGGAAGACTATAGCACACAACATCGGGTGCGCGACCAGACACCCTGACAACTAGATCTATTTTCGTCTACGTCTATGCTGGTACTCCATTTTCAGCAACTAAACGAACATGTTTATGGATAATTTCACGTACCTTTTTTGTTATGCCTCCGCCACCGAAGGTGGTGCCGGAGGCATCATGTTTTCGGGTTGTCCGTCCGTACGTCCGTCCCGTTTGACCGTTATCACAATATCTCAAGAACCATTTAAGATTTAAACTTAAGACTCGGGAATAGTATTTATCACCATAGGAAGACGATCTGATTAGATTTTGGAGTACGTAGGTCAAAGGTCACAGAGGTCAACTTATGAAATTCCTTGTATTGAGTTTGTTAGCGCGATATCTCAAGAACCATTTGAGATTTAAACTTCAAACTTAAGGATAGTATGTATCACCATAGGAAGACGATCTGAATAGATTTTGGAGCACGTATGTCAAAGGTCAAGGGTCACAGAGGTCAACTTATGAAATTCCATACATTGAGATTGTTATCATGATATCTCAAGAACCACTGGAGATTTAAACTTCAAACTTAGTGATAGTGTGTATCACTATAGGAAAACAATCTGATTACATTTTGGAGCATGTAGGTCAAAGGTCAAGGGTCATAGAGGTCAACTTATGAAATTCCATACATTGAGATTGTTATCATGATATCTCAAGAACCACTGGAGATGTAAAAACTTCAAACTTAAGGATAGTATGTATCACCATAGGAAGACGATCTGATTAGATTTTGGAGCACGTAGGTCAAAGGTCAAGGGTCACAGAGGTCAACTTATGAAATTCCATACATTGAGATTGTTATCATAATATCTCAAGAACCACTGGAGATTTAAACTTCAAACATAATGATAGTGTGTATCACCATAGGAAGACAATCTGAGTAGATTTTGGAGCACGTAGGTCAAAGGTCAAGGGTCACTGAGGTCAACTTATGAAATTCCATACATTGAGATTGTTATCATGATATCTCAAGAACCACTGGAGATTTAAACTCCAAACTTGTTTAAATTGCTCTATGGCGGAGGCATTATTTTCGACTGCGCGCAATCAAAATTCCATCTAGTTTTTTTAATAGGTTAGTTTCCCCACAATGAATGTACATACATGCCATTAGGTTGATCCTGACTCCCATATCCCTTTGAAAGGGGCGAAGAGGCAAATATTGTAAAAATTTGAATTATCACAACTTTCGGGCCGAAATGGTAAGGGCCGGGCTGGTTCAGCATTTTGGAGGAAAATGTATATTTTTTTTAATAGGCTAGTTTCCCCACAATGAATGTACATACATGCCATTAGATGGATCCTGACCCCATATCCCTTTGAAAGGGGCGTAGTGGCAAATATTGTGATAATTTGAATAAACACCAATTTCAGGCCGAAATGATAAGGGCCGCGGTGGTAAAGCATTTTGGAGGAAAATATTATATTTTTTGAATAGGCTAGTTTCCCCACAATGAATGTAGATACATGCCATTAGATGGATCTTGACCCCCATATCCCTTTGAAAGGGGCATAGGGGCAAATATTGTAAAAATTTGAATTATCACAACTTTCGGGCCGAAATGGTAAGGGCCGGGGTGGTTCAGTATTTGGAGGAAAATATTTTTTTTTTTTGAATAGGTTAGTTTCCCCACAATGAATGTACATAAATGCCATTAGATGGATCCTGACCCCCATATCCCTTTGAAAGGGGCGAAGGGGCAAATATTGTAAAAATTTGAATTATCACAACTTTCGTGCCGAAATTGTAAGGGCCGGGGTGGTTCAGCATTTTGGAGGAAAATATTATATTTTTTTAATAGGCTAGTTTCCCCACAATGATTGTACCTACATGCAATTAAATCGATTCTGACCCCCATATCCCTTTGAAAGGGGCGTAGTGGCAAATATTGTAAAAATTTGAATTATCACAACTTTCGGGCCGAAATTGTAAGGGCCGGGGTGGTTCAGCATTTTGAAGGAAAAAATTATGTTTTTTGATTAGGCTAGTTACCCCACAATGAATGTACATACATGCCATTAGATGAATCCTGACCCTCATATCCCTTTGAAAGGGGCGTAGGGGCAAATATTGTGATAATTTGAATAAACACCAATTTCAGGCCGAAATGGTAAGGGCCGGGGTGGTTCAGCATTTTGGAGGAAAATATTATATTTTTTTAATAGGCTAGTTTCCCCACAATGAATGTACATAAATGCCATTAGATGGATCCTGACCCCCATATCCCTTTGAAAGGGGTGTAGGGGCAAATATTGTAAAAATTTGAATTATCACAACTTTCGGGCCGAAATTAGAAGGTCGGGGTGGTTCAGTATTTTGGAGGAAAATATATATTTTTTTTAATAGGATAGTTTCCCCACAATGAATGTCCATACATGCCATTAGATGGATCTTGACCCCCATATCCCTTTGAAAGGGGCGTAGGGGCAAATATTGTGATAATTTGAATTATCACAACTTTCGGGCCGAAATTGTAAGGGCCGGGGTGGTTCAGCATTTTGGAGGAAAATATATTTTTTTTTAATAGGCTAGTTTCCCCACAATGAATGTCCATACATGCCATTAGATGGATCCTGACCCCCATATCCCTTTGAAAGGGGCATAGGGGCAAATATTGTAAAAATTTGAATTATCACAACTTTCGGGCCGAAATTAGAAGGCTCGGGGTGGTTCAGCATTTTGGAGGAAAATATTATTTTTTTTGAATAGGTTAGTTTCCCCACAATGAATGTCCATACATGCCATTAGATGGATCTTGACCCCCATATCCCTTTGAAAGGGGCGTAGTGGCAAATATTGTGATAATTTGAATAAACACCAATTTCAGGCAGAAATGATAAGGGCCGCGGTGGTTCAGCATTTTGGAGGAAAATATTATATTTTTTGAATAGGCTAGTTTCCCCACAATGAATGTAGATACATGCCATTAGATGGATCTTGACCCCCATATCCCTTTGAAAGGGGCATAGGGGCAAATATTGTAAAAATTTGAATTATCACAACTTTCGGGCCGAAATGGTAAGGGCCGGGGTGGTTCAGTATTTGGAGGAAAATATTATTTTTTTTGAATAGGTTAGTTTCCCCACAATGAATGTACATAAATGCCATTAGATGGATCCTGACTCCCATATCCCTTTGAAAGGGGCGAAGGGGCAAATATTGTAAAAATTTGAATTATCACAACTTTCGTGCCGAAATTGTAAGGGCCGGGGTGGTTCAGCATTTTGGAGGAAAATATTATATTTTTTTAATAGGCTAGTTTCCCCACAATGATTGTACCTACATGCAATTAAATCGATTCTGACCCCCATATCCCTTTGAAAGGGGCGTAGTGGCAAATATTGTAAAAATTTGAATTATCACAACTTTCGGGCCGAAATTGTAAGGGCCGGGGTGGTTCAGCATTTTGAAGGAAAAAATTATGTTTTTTGATTAGGCTAGTTACCCCACAATGAATGTACATACATGCCATTAGATGAATCCTGACCCTCATATCCCTTTGAAAGGGGCGTAGGGGCAAATATTGTGATAATTTGAATAAACACCAATTTCAGGCAGAAATGATAAGGGCCGCGGTGGTTCAGCATTTTGGAGGAAAATATTATATTTTTTTAATAGGCTAGTTTCCCCACAATGAATGTACATAAATGCCATTAGATGGATCCTGACCCCCATATCCCTTTGAAAGGGGTGTAGGGGCAAATATTGTAAAAATTTGAATTATCACAACTTTCGGGCCGAAATTAGAAGGTCGGGGTGGTTCAGCATTTTGGAGGAAAATATATATTTTTTTTAATAGGATAGTTTCCCCACAATGAATGTCCATACATGCCATTAGATGGATCTTGACCCCCATATCCCTTTGAAAGGGGCGTAGGGGCAAATATTGTGATAATTTGAATTATCACAACTTTCGGGCCGAAATTGTAAGGGCCGGGGTGGTTCAGCATTTTGGAGGAAAATATATTTTTTTTTTAATAGGCTAGTTTCCCCACAATGAATGTCCATACATGCCATTAGATGGATCCTGACCCCCATATCCCTTTGAAAGGGGCATAGGGGCAAATATTGTAAAAATTTGAATTATCACAACTTTCGGGCCGAAATTAGAAGGCTCGGGGTGGTTCAGCATTTTGGAGGAAAATATTTTTTTTTTTGAATAGGTTAGTTTCCCCACAATGAATGTCCATACATGCCATTAGATGGATCTTGACCCCCATATCCCTTTGAAAGGGGCGTAGTGGCAAATATTGTGATAATTTGAATAAACACCAATTTCAGGCAGAAATGATAAGGGCCGGGGTGGTTCAGCATTTTGGAGGAAAATATTATATTTTTTGAATAGGCTAGTTTCCCCACAATGAATGTAGATACATGCCATTAGATGGATCTTGACCCCCATATCCCTTTGAAAGGGGCATAGTGGCAAATATTGTAAAAATTTGAATTATCACAACTTTCG